TTCACATCAAGTTAGTCACAAGATTGTAAAATGTAGTTGGGAAATTCTCCACTTAAAAAAAGAAGGAAAGAAAGAAAAAGGAATTAGGCATTGACTGCGTTTGCATTTCAAAATGAACGTATCAGAGTCTTTGTCTTTACAGGCCTGGATGCACACACATGGTATTTAAGTGCATTCGCCTGTCTGTGTGCTTCCCATATGGTTCTTATTGATCCATGTCCCCTTCATACTCCTTCTGCTGCCTCGCGTTCCTGCTGTTTCTGTCTGCTGCGTGCACTGATGGCGAAGGAATGATGGAATGCTGCAGGGTAATTCTTTGGTTTCCTGGAAGCTGGTCTGGCTTTATCAGAAGCGGCTGTGACAATACTCCAACTGATGGGCCAACCAAACATCTCTCCTGTAAGCGTCGATCGGGCAACGAGTAAGCCTTCCTGGAAGGAATAATGAGCAACCCGGAGGCCCTTCCTGGAAGGCCGGAACAGATTGCCAGTTGCAAGGCATTTTCCTAACATCTTGAAAAAAATTTCCACCTTCAAGACTTGACGTGGCTGACTTTGGCAGGAGCTCAGTAATTTAAGAAAGCACACCAGGAGCTGTTGGTTATGCTTAGATTTTAATCAGGCTGCAAATACGGGATTAGTCCAACGCCATTCCCGTTGCCCAAACTGCTTCCTTTTTTCTTGAGCTGCTTTGAAACATGCAGCTGAAGCAAAGAAAAGGGCGATGTCCAAACAACTGCTGCAAATGTATGATCGTTGGGGAAAGGAAAAGGTCCAAAAAACTGAGTTGTCTGCAAGCCGGGTGTTGTGCTTGGCTCAGGCGCTGTTGACAACTGTTGAGCTGGACACAGCAAGTCACAACCCGAAAAAATGAATCATAGTGGAAAGACTTTGTGTGAGCGTGTGAGATCCACAAGAGGAGCGAAGGATACGGGCAAAATATTCCAGCTCTACTCACCAGGCAACTATGGGGAACATAAAATGAGTCACAGCGAGCTGAGCTGGCTTATTTAGACAATGTGTTTGTGTGTAAAACTGGATTATTCTGGTTGGATTTTTGGGAAGAGGGCTCACTCAGTTCTGTTTGTCTTTTGACCAACGTCACTTTTGTCAGCAAGTGCCAGCTTAGTTTTCCCTCTCATAAACAAATAGTGTCTCTAACAGACACACACACCTACACACACACACACACACATACGAGGCGTCAAAGAAAAATGGGAACTGTCGAACTGAATTGTTGTAATGACCTCCAATCAGATAAGCTACAAAAACAGGCATTATAGTCTCAGAGGTGTACACTCACTACTCCCCTATTTAAATCCAAAGTCAAGTGTGTCAAAACACACTACAGACTACACAGTCATTATTTATTAAACAAAGATGAAGCTCAAATGGAAAAACTAATTACACATCATCTTTGAAAGCCTTGGAGAACCACTTTTAGCAGCTATCACATCATTTTCTGTATGACTTTATCAGTCGCTCACTTTGCTGTGGAGGAATTTTGGCCTATTTTTCTTTACATAGCATTGCTTCATTGCTTGCATGACCCAGTTAGGCCAAGCTTCAGCTGCCAGGACATTGAAACTCCCTTTATTTATTTTTTTTCGGCCCTTGCTGTTGTTGAGTTGCTGTTGTGTTTGGGATCGCTTTCCCATTGAGGACCCAAATTTAGGTCAAGCTTCTGGTGTCCGAAAGATGATCTCTTAATGTGTTGGTGCACAAAGGCGTTTGAAGTCGACTCAATGACTGCACGGTTCCCAGGTACAGAGGTTGTAAAACGGGACATGTTATGTAAAATTCACATTTTGCACATTTTCCATTTGGGTTGAAATTGCAAATAAAAACAACCAAAGTGCTTAAAAAAAACAAACAAAAAAACACCCAGATAATTTTTTGGCAATAAGTTAACATTTTTTGGTGACTGGAAAACGAAACTTTCAAAAACCTCCTGATTGTTGAGTCATGTTCAATGGGTGCTGCCCTGTTACCTAGCAACCCTTGTGAAGCCCAACCTTTTTCCTAGCACCCCGAGCTGAGCTCCAGCATGTTTAGTCAGCTGGTTTTACTGTGCTTTATAATGGCTGCTGGAAAAGATAAGTGTTTAATTGTTGACTTACTATTCAGAAACCACTTGCTACATCCTTGTTGATTGTGCAGGAGGCTCCACTTCTGCTTTTCAAAGACGTATGGTTGTACAATTGCGCATCTGATTGCAGCCATTTTTACATACAAGGGTAAACATTGAGTTGGGAAGCAGAGCCAGCAGCAGCTTACTTGGATTTAAAGTGACAGAGGCCCTAAACATTCAGACAAAATTGGCAGAACTGACCAGACTAAAGTCTCATTATCTAAGAATAATTTTGTGCAAAAAATGTTAACATGCTTTGTATAGACCTATCCTAACATGTTCAAGGAAGCATAGATCACCTTTAAGCAAGCTCAAATCATTACTGTTTCACCACAGTGTTTGACAGTTAGCATGAGGTGTTTGTGCTGATATGAGGAGTTTTGTTTTCTCCAGCCATGGAGATGTTGATTAAGGTCAATCATCAATCAAAAGATATTGTTCCACAATCTAGAATTCAAATTTAACTTTTAAAATGGGGGTATTGTTAAAAATGTTAGGACAGATTTAGGAGATATCTAAATGTAACTTACTCTTAAAATACAAATAACTTTATAAGAGATTCATTGCTGAGGTCTTCCCTTCCTGACATTGTATTGCCACACAGAAGTGGTCACACTTGTTATGGAAGTGCATTTTTTCTGTTGACACACTTCCTCTTATCTCCTTTGGAAACAGAACAAGTTCTACGGGAACAACTCAACCAATTAGATTATAGGAACGTTCTACTATTTCAGTGACTCAAATCAAAAAAGTAAAACTTAAAAGTAGATTAATTATGCACAAATAGTGAAATATTTCAAGCATTTATTTCTTACTTTTGAATATATCCAGGATTTCTAATGGTTTCATCAACTCAAATTTAAGACTATTTAGCTGAAAACCAATAGCTAAAATGTATGAAATTTGTCCAACCAACCATCAATAAATTTGCACTTGCCCATGATAGACGGAAAGAGGCTAGCTAACTAGCTAGCAAGGGTTTGCTAGTAGTGAGTTAGCGGTAGCTTCAACCAAAGACATAATAAATGTATTTATCATTTAATTGTTATGTCTACGCCTTCAACAGTCTTGAGTCACAGGAAAAATGTAAATGTCTGAGTGTTGCCTGACAGAAAAGAGATGAAATAGTCCTTGCAAAGACAAAATTTATGATCTGTGATTAACATATTAAAGGTTGGTTTGCTTTTTTTAAATTAATTTGAGGCATTTAAAGGCTTCAACTTTACATGAGTTTAAATTCACTAGTTGTGAATCAGAGGTGGCTATATATATTTCACTTTTTGTCAAATTTTTGTTCCATCATCAGTCACCGCATTAAATGTTCAACTTGTAAAGGATCGTTAGTTTAATAAAGGTTAGATTGAATCATTTCACGTGGAGTCAGTTGTAGATTTAATCCTCACTGACCGTCCCTCGTATTTCTGCTCCTCCAAGCCCATTACGATCATTAATTTTTCTACCAATTAGAAGAAAATGTAGATGCTGTCATGTTTTTTCAATAATTTAGTTTCCTGTTGAGCGGTTTTAACTGCTTCCCTTCCAAATCAGCAGTATAGTTGTAATTATTTTTGACAAATATTAATTTAAACCCCTCTCTAATCAATTTTGCTGTGCTATTTAAGTCTATTTAAATTCACTAGTTGTGAAATTAACCTATAAGCCACTTTCTACATTGAATTATAAAAATAAATGAACTTTTTATATTTAGTTTGTCACAAACCTTTCTCATTTTGGCTTCCTCTTTAATAAATGGCAGTTTGGTGATAGACCCGAGGTTAGATTTCAATTTTTTTTAACCTATTCTTTTTTTAAATGATATCCTGAAGAGTAAAGTTTGAATTTGTAAAAGGTGTGCTTTTTCCCGTAGGACTAAGAGAAATAAGTTTTGTATTCCGTTGCACGACAGCAAGCTGATTACTTCACATTTCCCAGATGTTTCTAAATTGAAGAAATAAACTGTTTTCTCATCAGTGCTCTGTCATTTATCTCACACAAACACCCACTCACGCAGAGACAACTCATTCACTCCTTCTCGGACGCACACACCAACACCAGGCAAGCCGTAAAAACTCAACTCAATTAAAGTGCCTCTTTCCTGGAAGCCGGCCTCAGACAGAGCACAAGGTATGCAGGGAATGGGAACTGTGTGTGTGTGTGAGAGAAGATGTGGTGGAGGTGGGGAGCTGGGAAATGAAGGAACTCACCTCCTGGTTAATTTTACCAACAGTAATCTCACTTAACATACAAACACACACAGATTCAGCGTTGGCTTGAGTGTGAAACCACAGCCAGTCATAAATCTCGTCCACGTGGATGTGCTCACCTTTCTGACCTCACACACACTCCCCTTAGGACGGCACCCCTTTCTCTCTCTCCCTTAGCCGCCAAAGGCAGGATGTATAAAATCCCACTGCATTCCTTTTCCAGTCAAGTCCAGCCCAAAGTCAGCTTTTTGCACACTAACTGCTGTGTCAAAGGTTTGCCCGTCTCCGTGCTTCTGGGAATCCCTTTGTCACAGCGTGGCACTCAGCTTTCCCCAAACAAACTCTGATTCTCATGGAATTTACCCACAATGCTCCACTGACGCATACGAGAAGTGAAGATTGCGGTAATTTCAAGCCCTCGGATCGTGCAGCCGTCCTTCCTTGTTGCTCGAAACGATCTCTCTGAGTGTATAAACACGTCTTCGTCCAGCTTTGAAATCCCATCTGACAGTAAATAATCTTGTGAAGCCAGGAATTGCTGGAATACAGACTACTTTGCAACACATTACAGTAAGTTAAAGCATATCCAGTCAATATTGACTCAGGGGGGAGAAAAGGAGAAGCAGGCAGGAGGGAGTGAGGAAGTAACACACAGGGCACACTGCATTGGCTTTTGTAAAAATAGTGCTCTTTAATATAAATTATTGAAATATTTTAGAAATATAAATATGTGCAACGTTTCTTTTTCATTTATTATGTAATGCTTTTGACATTGCAGATATTACAGCTTGTATTTTGCCAGACTAGTGGCCAGCCTTTTGCAAGTGAGTCTTTATAAAAGACAAATGATTCACATACACTCGGTCTACTGCTGCAGCACAACATGTAAGAACTTGGTGTTTGATGCAAGACAGTAAGACCCAGATCTGACCATTACATACGAAAGGTGTGCATCACTGTGGCGACATAAACTCACACTGTTTCATGATGTAAAAAGAAAAGAAGAGGCTACCATTCCAATATGGATTACAGGTGAGTATGAGCACAAGAAAAACACAACAAAAAGATAATAATGTGGGTCAAATCTGAGTCTTGTAGTTAGTTTTACAAAAGGCATTTTTAAAAGAATCTCCTAAGGGAAGTGTTTAGTTCCCTTGATGTTCTCCAGAGGCAAAGAAAAAAGGTTATAATAGTTCAAATAACAGCATGTTTCCTCTTAACTCCTTCATGAATGGCGCAGGAAGACCAGAAGAGAGAGAGAGGGCAGGCAACAAACACAAAAGGCTTAAAAGGAAATAAGTTAATAAAAGTGTTACACAGAAAATGCATATGTCCATCTGCCTACAAAAATAAAATGTATAAACATGCACTTTGATGCACTTCTGAGTTTAATTAAAGTCATCACTGACATTTAAAAAAAAATGGATTTGAATAGAATCGGAATCAATCTCAAAGAAAAGTATGAAATCGATATCGGCCCGATCGGTGCAGCTTTACACTTTATAGCAGTTTTAAAGATGGATGCCATAGAAGATGGTTGCAATTAAAACAGAATTCTCCTTTTATTTACTTTTACTTGAGATAGGTTTTTCCTAGTTAATAGCAATTTCTGATTTTTGCTTTAGGTCTGACCTACCGATTCTGATTTTAAAAAGGATTGCGAGGCATCAAAAGAAAACAAATGTGAATTATTTGATAGGAGTAGCATATCTGACTAGAATAGAATTGGAGGAAATTTAAAAAATAATCCACTTTTATTCATCAAGAATACACTCCTACCATTGGATTTATGATGCTCATTGCTGCAATTTCTTCATTTCCGTTGGGATCCAAAATTGTTGCAAACAAACTAGAAACAGCTTTTAGACAAATGGAGTTCCTTATAAAACAATAACGAAATCAGAGCCAGCAGGTCAGACCTCCGAGAAAACCAGATATCTGTATTGGCGAGAAAAGCCTGACCAGTGCATCTCTTTTATGATCAATACTAATTTCTGATTTTCCTTTGAGTTTTACCTTCAGACGCTACACATGAAAGAACAAAATAGACTACAGGTTCCTCGACAGAAATGGCCTCTTGTAGGTATAATCTTGTTTAGGTATAATCTCCCTAACCTTTATTGGATTTGTATTAAGCTCAAAAAAGTGCATCAAAGTACATAATGTTAGTTGATGTGTTTACAGACTGAAAATGGGAGTTCTTGGTTTTCATTTAATAAATGGAAATATATACATGTACTTTTTATTAGTCCACCATTAAGAGGAAAAAAAATCAGCCAATTCCGATCTCCAGCTGATCAATTTTTAAAATGTTTTAAATGCATCAAAAATGAACATTTTTAGTGTGTAAACATATCAACAAACGTCACGTTTATTTTGAGTTTCATAAAAAATATATATATAAAAGAAATCTCATGATTGCCTAATTTTCCTTTGGGTTTGTTGCTACTTCATCATGCAGCATTTAGCTACAGAATTAAAACATTTACATAAAAGTGTTTGTCTTACAGACCTAAAATTGGAAGGACAGGCTCTCAAAAAATTGGATATATTGGTATCAGCCAGTACAAGTTAGTGTGTTGCATTTCTAGACAAAATACTAAAAAAAAAACTGATTTGAGACTAAGATGGAGCCGTCATATTTACACAAGCTACATCCTGTTTGACTGCATCATCAATCTAATCAGTGTTTTTATCAAGCTGTATACCAGTATGTCTCCTCCTCCTTCAGTTTCCCCTTCCCTAATCCCATTTCCCGCTCTTCTGCCCCCCCTCCTCTGTCTTCCCACCCTTCTTCCTTCCCCATCCCCGGGATTATTACCGCCAATCTCCAGCAATCTTTACATCTTTGCAGTCTGGATAAAAATAATTTCTTCTTCTTCTTTTGTTTGGTCCCTCACAACAGCCTTTGTGTCAATAAGCTTTTGTCTCGGTGACTGTGGTCTGTTTTCTGGCGCTGTCAGAGCACACATGCGTCAAAAAAAAGAAAAAAAAATGGAGGGAAGGGTAATGGAGGAGGAATAAGAAACAAACAGCAGAAGAAGAAATGAATTTTTTTGTGTCCTACGCAGAAAAAACCGACATGTGGGCCTGTACCTGCAAGAGTGTGTGTTGAGCTAGCGTGCATGGCCAGCCCACTCCCCTCTATGTGGCAACATTTGCGGGAAAAGGGAATGGAAATATGTGCACAACCACAACGCACACACTCAGACAAACAAATACTGTATGCCGGGATCTCTCTCTCTCCCCCTCTCTCTCTCTTCTCTCGTTTGGACTTTGCCTTTTTTCTGTTACTCCTCCTTCATTCGCTCACTCCCTCCCCATCTCTCTGTCCTGCGATCCAAAGTGTTGGAAAAATGAGGATGTTCTTTCTTTAAGAGCGTTAAAACCCACCGACGTCAGCGGCGGCGTGATCCCGCCATCGTTTACAATCTTCTACGAGGCTCTGCTCTGCGTCTGAGTCAGTCATAGGAAACGCTGACCTTTGACCTCTGGCTTCATCTGCCACCCCAAACGGTAGTGGTCAGGTTCTCCTAAGGCAGGATAGACGAGGTAATCGCCGGTTACCCAAATCCGACTCCAGCATCCGGGGGGTTAAGGTAGACGGAGCCCAACAGCGATTTATTAGGAATCAAAAGTGCTGAGCTCGGCTGATTCTGGTCGCAGTGACCTCATTTCAGTCTGATCAGCTCTGAGAAGCGTTCTGTGCTATTCCTCGTCAGTCAGATAGACGCATCGTACTTCTTCATGAAGTCTCTGAGCGCCTGCGGGAGTTGCTGCACCTCTCCTTGGCCCGTTCGGTTCAGCGCCCTCCTGCATATGTGCTTCAGGGACGAGGGGCTGATCTTGAGGGGCTTCAGCAGCTCCAGCGGGGTTTTAATCCCACGGCTGTCCATCAGGTAAATGGTTTCCATACTTTCTTCACTCGCCCCATCCACAGTCAGCTGCACGTCCCTCCCTCTCCCCATGTAGAACATGATGAGCTTCAGCACGCAGTCGAACTGCGGCACCTTCTTTTTGTTTTGGTAGTCGTTCTCGAGGAAGAAGCCGCCTTCCTCGCTGTGGATGCGCAGGTTCCTGGTTCCATAAACCGTCTGCACAGACAGGGTGAAGAAGTAGCGGCGGTCCGACGAGTCGCGGATGAGGAAAGTGCCAGGTTCTTCTTTGCTCAGCAAGGCTTTGGCCTCCAGACCCCCAATGGGCCCAAAGTAAAAGCCGCTCTCCAGAAGCTTCCGATGAGCATCTATCACCTGAAACAGATTAAAAGACGATCAGGGTACACGACTTCTCACGTCAATTCTGTTTAACTTCACTGCAAAACCACAAAATATCATCAAGTATTTTTGGCCTAGTTTCTTCTGCAAATATCTTAGTACACTTGAAATAAGACAAAATTAACTTACAAGTATCTTAGGATCTTGTTTTCAGTCAATAATTCCTAAATATTGATGAAAAAGTAAAACTTATAAGTGGAACTAGTACTTTTTCCATCAATATTAAGGAATTATTGGCTTAAAACAAGCAACTGAAAACTTACTTGTAAGTTAGTTTTGTTTTTTTCATGTGAGCCAAAATATTTGCACTACAGCTGCAGCTACCAATTATTTTAGTAATTGATTATTCTATCAATTCCTCTGACAACTAATCAATTAACTTTGAAAATTCTGCATATAAGTTTTTTTTTTATAATATCAGAAATGGATTAAAAGATGCAAATAAGCACCTAATTTAATTGTCTTAAAAAAGAAAAACATTTTACTACCTAAAATGCAACAACATGGAATTCCTTAATCATTTGTAGCAAAGTATGTCTCTTAAACTAAAAAAAACATGATAAAATTTTTACATTTTAACAATGTATGACTGAATATTTTTTTAATAAAAAAGCTGGATAGCAAAATGTACTTCATAGAAGATTATCACCACTTGAAGATTTTTGAACAGATCAAACTTAACCACCAAGTTTTTATTTTGTCTGAAATATAAAATGTGTGTAACTTGTAAAGTTTTGGCTTATTTTCTAGTCTCTATATGTTCTTGCAGCAAAGAGCTTTTTTTTTAGTATATTTACTCCACTAAGCGATTAATCAATTATTAATCTAATTGACGATTATTTCAATAATTAATTAATCACAATTAATTTGATTGTTTCAGCCCCAATTTGCACTATAAACTAGACCAAAGATACTTGGTGAGACTTTGTGTTTTTGCAGTGTTAAAATGTTATTATGAAACCTGATAGCAGGACAAATGCACAAACAGAAGCACTGATGAAAAAATGGATGGATTGAAGAAGAGATAAGTGGAAGAATCAATGAACAAACGGACTGATAAAACAAGATGATGGACAAACGGAGGGCTTAATTGAAAAAAAGATGAATGTAGAAACTTGATCACTGGACAAGCAGAGAAACGAATAGATCAAAGGGAAATGGATGGATAAATGGACAAACGAATAAATGACAAGACAAACAGATGAATGGATTAAGAAATAGATGCGTGAATCAATTAAACTTGATTGATAGATGGATAAACAGATGGCTCAAGTTATTAAATGGATGCATGAAAAGATAAAGATAAGCACCACAAAAACAAAATCTTACCAAGTACTTTTGGTCTAGATTTTGGTGCAAATATCTTTGCACACTTTAAATCAGACAAAATTTACCTTCAAGAAACTTTTCAGCAAGATATAGGAGTTTGCCTAAGTCAATAATTCCTCAATATTGATACAAAGTAGAAATGCACCAATCTGATATACAGTATCGTATTGAAAAACATTCTAGATTGGGTATTGGTGACAATGTTGTGTTGTTTTTACATGTTTGACCAAGCATGTGAAGATAATGGCGTATGTAGGTGTGCTGGACTGGTGTAGCATTATCAAATATCATGTCTATGTTTAAAAAAATAAATGTTTTAAGTCAATTCATTGTTTTTCTGAAATGGAATCAGCTGATAAGAAATGTCATATGAGTATTGGATGTGAAAACAGTGAATTTGTGCATCCCTAATGAAATTCTTAACTTAAACATTTTTTCCAACATTGTAAGTGATAAAACTACCAGTGGAACTTTTTAATCAACACTCAATAATTTTTGACTTACAACAAGCTCCCATATCTTGCTGAAATCTTAGTTGTAAGTTAGTTTAAGTGAACTAAGATATTTGCACTAGTTTCTAAACCTCAGATATTAGTATTTGAAGTAAAAAAATGGATTGGTGCATTCCTACTACAATAGTTCTACTGAGAGATCTTTTAAACATTTTTCCAATGTTATAGTTGAAAAACTACCAACTGAAGTAGTACTCTTTATGAATGTTTAAGAATGATTGACTTAAGACAAGCTGCCATATCTTACTTGTAAGTTTGTTTTGCTTCAAGTGAACTAAGATATTTGCACTAGAAATAGACCAAAAATACATGGTAAGATCTTTTGTTTTTGCAATGAGGTGAATTTAATGAAATAAAAACATTTTCCCCAACTTATTCAGATCTAGAAAATATCTAAAATCAAACTTCAGACGTTTCAAGAGAGCAGGAACCCAGAAGAACAACCAGGTTTGACTGACCTGCTGGTAGTGTTCATGCGAGCTGAAGGGCTTGTAGTGAAGTGGGGCTAAGTCTGACCCCTGAATCCTGCTGCTCTCTGAAGGGGTCACACTGCTCATTGCGAGGGCCCTGGCTACCGCGGCGCCATGGCCCCCTGCCTCTGCCCGCCGGTCGAGGGGCAGGGGGCCCGGAGCAGGAGCCCCGGGAAGGACAGGTGGAGGTAAACGTGGAGCAGGGCGATCGGAGACGGACGGGCAACGGGGCGAGGTCGGCGGAGTCACAAGCCGGGTCCAGGGCCCCGGGGAGGAGGGGTCTGATGCATCCAGAGAGGGGCTGGGAGAGGGCACCTAAGCACAGCTGGAGGAAGACGGAGAAAGATGGAGCAGGGATTAGGCATTTCCATCTATATATAGGCTGGTGACAAGCAAACACTGAGCCACGCTGGAAACTTACACTCCTTCATGAGCAGTGACATAAACAAATGAGCACTTTGCCACACTGGAGCTCTCAGTTTACCCCACATAAAATGCAGTTATGGCGGCTGTGACAAATGCACGGAGCAGGAGCGGGTTATATTTAGTTTAAATGAATCCTCAGCGTACTCGCTGCTGCAGCGTGCAGCCAGACGGCAACTGGATCCTGATTGCTTTCAATTGTCTTCGATCGGCGCACCGCAACAAGGGATTTCTGAATCGGGGTCACAGTGAAAGAGTCCGGCACAATTTTTTTTTTTTACTCCTCCCTTCCCCCTCTTTTCTTCTTTCACTGAATAACTCTTTATCCCGGTTGTCGGAAGAGGAGGTGGGTGGGGGGTTCCTCTGGTTTCACTGGGATAAAAAAAATAAATAAAAAATAGTGGAGCCAATCTGGCTTGCTTTGCTCGGATCCTCTGCAGAGTACCGCCCGCTCCACCGGACAGTGATCGGTAGAGAGACGGGGAAGCTGAGCAGGAGGCGCCGTAACGGTACAGAGAGCAGAACCGAGCCAGGAAGTTGGCCTCCGATTTGAAAAGACACTTCATAAAAAGGGATGTTTCACTCTTTTTAAGCACCTTTAAACCTGGACCGAGTTAACATATTTGTGGAAACCAATTGGCTTCCCAATCATCATCCTTATTAAATTAACAAGACTGCAGGCTGTATCCATAGCAAATAATCGGGCTAATTAGCTAGCTTTTTTATACATTTGTTACTCCATAGAAAGCAGAGTTGCATAAAAAGGTAAAATATTCTGAGGAGAAAGAGTTTACCTTTTAATACAAAAGAGAAAAATGAGTTGCAGGTACTTTGAGCCAGGTAAACAACTATCCAGATGAAAAATTAATTACAATATAAACAGATATTCTGACCATCTTAATTTGACTCGGGACATTTTTAAAGTACATGGTGTTAGATGGTGTGTTAACAGGCTGGCAATAGTTGGGAGCCGTTTTTAAATCTTGAATTATTTATGGATAGCTGAAAACATTAAACATCTTCAGCATTTGAGCTGCCAGTCAAGAGAAAGTTGACTGGTGCACTGATCAGGCCAGTTTCTTTGACTTCTGCTGATTTTTGATGTGTGTGTATATATATATATATATATATATATATATATATATATATTTTTTAATATAGGAATTCACCAAAGCATATGTCACTAATTTATATCTAGTTTTTACCAAACATACAAAACCAGGAGAGGGAAATGGCCCTCTGTTATAATTTTGAGAGAATTCTGAGAATATCTGATGATAAACTAAACATACCCAGCATATTATTTGTTATTTTAGTACCTGTAACTGGATTTTGGTTTTGGTGTAAAATCCAAATATGGTTGGTGGCTGTAGTGGCGCCACCAAGTGGGAGATGGAGGTGTTGTAATGACAAAAGATGCCAACCTCCTTCCAAACAGTCCTGTATGCATATACCTAAAAGCACACCTGAAAAAAAAAAATTATTCATTTTCAATATATGTATTATTTTAAAAAGTACTTAAAACAGATTAGCCTGCACTGAAAAGAGGCTTGTCATGTTTTCCATTTTGTCATCAGTGCTTCTTTGAAATGTTTTTATATCACATAGATCAGAATCAGAATATTCTCTGTTGGGTTTATTGGCATAAATGTAATTTTATATAAACAAACGTGACTTTTGAGCTATATAGAGGGAATACTACAAGCAAATTACCTGAAATTTAACCATTAAAAAAGGCAGATCATTTATCAATGATATTGGCATTTAGATCTTTTTAAAAAGTTACTGAATGCCTAACTAAAAATATAGATTCATGTCAGTGCTGAGATTATTGGTGGCCCCCATTTGGCCCTTAGATTTTCTAGAGATGCCCCTGGAGAAAAGGGACAATCTTGATGCGTATTTAGTAACACAATAGAATCTGCTTTATTCGATTAGTTTGTGCACAACAATCTGACTTTGGTTTTCAATTGCTCACAGCATACAGTCACAAAGTAGATATCAAATCATCTTAAATCAGATTGTACAACCAGTCTGTTTCAATGAATCACTGCTCAGGGTAGGAAAACCCACTCCACGTTGCTATATTGAAGCTACAGCCGGTATATGGTAGCTCAGGTTCCCTAAAAAGAGCGAAAGAGCCCTTTACTGAGAACAAGTCGGAAACGAACTTCGGCGTCGTATCCCTTAGCCAGAATCCGATGAAGACAAGATTAAATTTAATCTGGCCAGCAGCTGTGAGGTCTACATGACAGCAGCCATCCTAAAACAAGCTCAGCGGCGGACTATTTTCCCCACTTCCAGTCGACCCGAGCAGCGAGTCTCCTCTCACAACTTACCTTGCGGATGTGCTGAAGTCCGCACCGCAGCCGCTCGTCGCCGAAGGAAAAGACCCGCAAACTACCCGAAAGTAGTGCCAGCTGAATTATTAACTCAGGCATTAAAATCCAAAGAGAAGTGTCCCCCCCGCAAAAAAACGCGTGGGGTTTGGATGGGAGAGCGGAGGAATGCGGCCGGTCGGAGAGATTCCGTGTGAGTGAGTGTGTGTGAGTGTGTGTGTGTTAGAAGGTTACCGGAGGTTGTTCCAGTGTGAGTAAAAAGACGATGTTTAGGAAGGCTCCGCCCCCCCCTCCGTTCAGACCTTCTTCCAGTAAACACACGCACGCATTTACGCACGCGCTCGCGCTCGCTCCCGCTGCGCAGGCAGTAGAACAAGCGGCTGCGCTCGCGCCCGGGCAGATTGCCAATAAATAATCAGCGTGACCTTTGGCGCTGTGTTTCCTGGTACTGGGTTCCCTTCTCGACAAGGTGAAAAAGTTAAAAGCTGCACATATGGCACAATAAAACAAAATCACCCTCCCTGGGTAATTGCTTTTAAAAACAGGATAGATGGTTGAAATATTTTATTGAGCAAGTGAGGGTTATGGGGACATGAAAAGTATAATAGTGGATTTTAAAAAGCAAAAACAAGTCTGTAACTGTTATCCCTTCACAGAGGCTCTCCCAAACTGGTTGGGTAATGAACAATGTTTTATTTATTCATAAAGGACATCAAAGAAACCCCGTTTTAATGCAATTTTGTCTCAATCTACTCACTAAAAACAGGATAGATGGTTGAAATATTTCAAGTACTGGTAAGTGGTATGAGGATATGGAAAAGTAAAAATCTGTATTTTAAAAAGTAAAACGTATAAAAAAGGTCTGCAACTCTTGCCCCTTCACAGTGGCTCTCCCAAAATGGTTATAACTGCCTATTGTAATAGTTCAAACACCAAATATAACCTAATATGTATTCATATGCAAAGAGGAAACTGTGTTGGTGCAGAAGCTTGCATTCACGCTCTTCCTTATCTGCACTCATGGCATCACAGTAAATTCATGCCATGTTAAATGACCCTCCTGGATTGGCTGCTTTGCAAATGCCAGTGTTAAGTAAAATGCAGCTTCACAAACTGCATTTTCTTTCTTTCTTTCTTTTTTTTTTGGGATCGTCTTAGATAAACTACAAAAATATATACAAATATGTAAATTTTACAAACAATTTTGAGTGGCCGATGGTCCACTGTATTTAGATTATTTTTGTTTTATTATAAAAAAAAACAACAACAAAAAACAGGTGTAGTTTTGTGAGTAGATTGAGGTTTTAATTCTACTTTGCAAAAATAGAATTAAAATTAGGTTTATTTTACTTCCTTTATGAATAAATAAAACCTAACCATCTTTAGTGGGAGTCCTAAGCATTTGCTGATTTTAGCTATTTGCAGGCAGCTGTGGCCCCCAACCGCCACTCCACTGTAAATACAAAAAAACAACAACAAAAAACAGGTGTAGTTTTGTGAGTAGATTGAGGTTTTAATTCTACTTTGCAAAAATAGAATTAAAATTAGGTTTATTTTACTTCCTTTATGAATAAATAAAACCTAACCATCTTTAGTGGGAGTCCTAAGCATTTGCTGATTTTAGCTATTTGCAGGCAGCTGTGGACCCCAACCGCCACTCCACTGTAAATACAAAAAAACAACAACAATTAGATTAGATTCATTAATCTCTTTGTAAAGAATAATAAATCAACTGTGATTAGCCAAATGTTGGGAAAGCTAGAGTTCAATTTTAACAGCCACAATCAGGCCTGACTGGTCCCACTTCACACCAAATAAGCCAAAAGATCTAAAAAAAAATAAATAAAAATAAGTATCACATCATGCCTCAATCTAAAGCAGTGGTTCTTAACCTTTTTTGAGGTACCAAACCCACCAGTTTCATATATGCATTCACTGAACCCTTCTGTAGTGACAA